AAGCACAGCATCAACCCTTTAAAAAAAAATTAAAAAAATAAAACTTATGCAAATTTATGGTTGTATGGTATTTGTTATCTCTAATTTTCATGTATGTATGTAGTCTTTCATAATAAAAACAACATTTTAAAGAAACTATTTATTTTAGTTTTAGCAGGAGTGGGGATTAAACCTAGGGTCTCATGCATATTAAGCAAGCACTCTTCTACTAAGTTCCTTCACCAGCTCTGAAGAAGCTATTTTATATAGATGGATTTATGAACACAGTAAAGAATTTTGTTGAGTTTATCTGGGCATTCAATATCAAAGTTTCAACTTGCTTATAATAAACTAAGCATAAGTCTCAAAATTGATTTGGAAAGAACCGCCAAATGTGAAATACAAAGAAAATTACAAACCACAGACTAACACCTATTTTAAATATCACCTGATGATGTCAAGGAAACAACTGCGCTTTTCTAATTGAAACCACAGTTTTCTTGCAGATTTTTAGTAAGAGACATGTAGCCAAATAAAAATCACTTCGAATCTCAGAATCAATTCCTCTTTAGTTTCAAGGTAAGTCTAGGCAAAAAAAAAAAAAAAAAACATATTCTTACGGAGAATAAATGTCTTTTTGCTTTGTTTTAGTGACTTCAGGCTGTCATTAGTTTTTTGCTTTTCAAGTGAATAAAAGAAAAAAATTCCACTTTATTAAGCGAACATGAGCATAGTGCCAAATACTGTGTTCTGTATAATTTGCTTACAAATTAACTTTTGCAATTTATTGCCAGAAATTATGATATTACTAAAAGTTTTGTTTATAAACAAAAAAAATCTTATTTATTGTACCAGGATAACATATGCTTTCCTTTTAAAAACATTTGGTTGTGTTGGGGTTTCCAAATGACCTACTTTGGGAAATATTAAACCAGGAAGCAATATGAGTAAGTTCTGGCAACTGCTAGAATCCCCAGTGAAGTCATGGGTCATGAGATCTGCACTCTAGCTCGATCTATTGATCAACATGCATGACTCAGGAGGAGCTGCTGGTGGGTGAAAGAAGTTCTAAGTCACTGTTAGGCTAACAAAACTGAGAAATCATACTTTGTATAATAGACATTTTGTAAATTACCTCCAGATTGTTTGAATCAACTTTCAATTTTACCTTAAACTATTTCTTAGGCTCAGCAGAAAATCATTTTGACTTGAAAGGATCTAGTCTTTAAGTACGCGTTTATTGAGCCAGTCTTGTTGACAACTTAACGACTGGTAACCTTTTATTAGTGAAATATCCCTAACTTATATGACTATGCAAATTTCTCAGTGTCTTACTTTGGGTGACATTCGTGAAAAACCAGCCATTTTATGTTTATTTACACCCCCACCCAAGACTCCACCTGAAACCGTGATCCAAACACGCCTGCCTTACTCACTCAAATGGGGTTATCTCCTTGAGGGACGTGGGTCACGCCCAGAGGGTAGTGAACCCAGTTATCTGGTCCTAGCTGGTTAAATCCTGTTTTCGCCTCTCTTGCACTATAAGCAGGGAGAAATACTACTTTCTTGTGGGTGGACTCCCCATCTCTTAAACCGGGCTTTCGGCACCCCTATCTACATTTCTCCTTCTTCCTACCAGTGTAGAGAAACACTAGGGAGGAAGAAGGAATTACGGGTATGGGTGCAGCTAGATCCAAGCCCTGCCAGCGTGTCACCTTCAGCTCGAGCCTCTCCTTTCTCAATGGCCTCCGCAGAGAGCCCCACGCTAAAGTCTAGATTTATAGAATTACCAGGATTAAGACAAAACACCTAAAAGCAATCTAATTCTGAGCGTGAGGGCTGCGTCTCTAAGGAGTAGAATGAGAAATCGTGATTTTCAGGCAACACCCTTGCGGAACGTCATTTTGAAGTAGGAAAGACCCCCCCCCATCCTACATCCACCCCCCATCCACCCCCCATTTCCGGCTGGAAAAATATCCATCTTTCGGGAAGGTGCTCCTCTAGGCGCATGGGCATTCAGTTACTTAGCAACGTCGCTCCAAATGACTACCGAAGCCCAGCAACAATAGAACCGCCGCGTCCTCTACCAATCAGCGCCGGCTTCACCTCAACCGCCTCACCAATCAGCGCCGGCGCTGCCAGGAAGTTTCCAGAGCTTTCGAAGACGGTTCCTTTAACTTGAATTCATCCGCTTGGTGATTTTTCCGCACTTTTTCGTCAAGTAGGATATAGAGTACCTGGAGGAGAAGAAATATAATTTTTTAGAATCCTTTTGTTTCTACTGGGAGGAATTTGGGGCTCAATTGAAAGTCTAACGCGCCGCGGGTGGTGAAGCTGAAGGAACTACTTTCAGCGGCGAACGGAGACAGCCGCTACGTCGAGGTGATAAGTGACGCAACAGACGTTGCATAAATTTCACCTCCGCCGAAGCGGCGCGTTCAGTGGCGAGTGGCTTTGTGGAGTGACGGTGCGCTGCTTTACGGCTGGATCGTGGTGACTGGTGGTTGGTGGCCTCTTCGCATTCGATTAACAGGTACTGGCCTGAAGAGTTTTGGACCTGCTAAGGATGAGAAAGGGAGCTTGAGTGAGGTCACGGTGGCGGTTTATAGGGCCGGTGGCGCCTCGGGTGGGGTGGGGGAGGGGTGGGGGGAGGTGTCGTGACGCGGCACGGCCCTCTCCGGAAGAGAGGGGCCTCGTTTGTGGCGGGAGCGGGGGCGGCTGGCGCGCGCCGGCAAAGACTAACTGACGCTTAACCGATGGAGATTCCATCGCATTTGCTTCAGAGGGGGAAGGTAGAAAAAAGGTAGTCTTCGTGATTTAGGGGAACCTTTAGTTATCGAGTCTCAATATGGGAAAGTGTTTCAGCTCTGTTTTGTGGGGGTTTGGGCCTTGGGTTTGATTGGGGTTTTTTGTATTGCCATAGTGAGGTGTGGGGACATTAGTGGGGGGAGGGGCGCTTAACCCGGAGCTACGGGGAAGAAAAACCGCGAGTACTAGTTTCGAAAGCGCTTCGGCTTTTCTAGCGGTTTCAAATTGAAAAAGCCACTGACTGTAGCCGAATGCGGTGGCGCGCGCCTCTAATCTCTGGGGCTCCGGAGGCTGAAGCAGAAGACGTGGAAGTTTAAAGCCAGCCTCGACTTAATAAGATTTGCTGTCAAAACGAGTTGGATGGGGCTGCGGTTCTGGCTAAGTGGTAGAGCACTTTACTAGCATGTGCGAGGCACTGGTCTGGGTTCGAGCCTCAGCACCCACCGCATAAACCTAAAACAAAATGAAGGTATGGTATCCGCCTACAACTAAAGCACCCTTAACTACTGACTGGTTCAGTCGCCAGTACTAACAAAAACCACTGACTATAAATGGAGTTTGTATTGCGTGACTAACTGTAGGCTAGTGAATTTGGAGGTAGGTTCGTGAGAAATGTTAACGCTTTGTGCCCGCCCCGCCCGTTTCTCCTCCCGCCCCCTGCACTGGGAGACCAACCAAGCCGTGTTAGGCAAGTGTTCTATCACATTAATATGTTTTTAAGGCATTTTGAAAAAAAAAAGATTTGAAGAGTGGTTTTGGATATTAAAATAGGAAATCAATCCTGAGATGACCCCAATTGTTTCTGTTTAAATTCTAGGTCAAAATGCAGATCTTTGTGAAGACCCTGACTGGCAAGACCATCACCCTGGAGGTGGAGCCCAGTGACACCATTGAGAATGTGAAGGCCAAGATCCAGGATAAAGAAGGCAT